TGGGTACACAAGGCTGGGTACACAAGGCTGCTTGGGTACACAAGGCTGCTTGGGTACACAATGCTCATTGGGTACACAAGGCTGCTTGGGTACACAAGGCTGCTTGGGTACACAATGCTCATTGGGTACACAATGCTCATTGGGTACACAAGGCTGCTTGGGTACACAATGCTCATTAGGTACACAAGGCAGCTTGGGTACACAAGGCTGCTTGGGTACACAATGCTCATTGGGTACACAAGGCTGCTTGGGTACACAATGCTCATTGGGTACACAAGGCTGCTTGGGTACACAAGGCTGCTTGGGTACACAATGCTCATTGGGTACACAAGGCTGCTTGGGTACACAAGGCTGCTTGGGTACACAATGCTCATTGGGTACACAATGCTCATTGGGTACACAAGGCTGCTTGGGTACACAATGCTCATTAGGTACACAAGGCTGCTTGGGTACACAAGGCTGCTTGGGTACACACGGCTGCTTGGGTACACAATGCTCATTGGGTACACAAGGCTGCTTGGGTACACAAGGCTGCTTGGGTACACAATGCTCATTGGGTACACAATGCTCATTGGGTACACAAGGCTGCTTGGGTACACAAGGCTGCTTGGGTACACAAGGCGCATTGGGTACACAATGCTCCTTGGGTACACAAGGCGCATTGGGTACACAAGGCGCATTGGGTACACAAGGCCGCTTGGGTACACAAGGCCGCTTGGGTACACAAGGCTGCTTGGGTACACAATGCTCATTGGGTACACAAGGCTGCTTGGGTACACAAGGCTGCTTGGGTACACAAGGCTGCTTGGGTACACAAGGCTGCTTGGGTACACAAAGCTCATTGGGTACACAAGGCTGCTTGGGTACACAAGGCGCATTGGGTACACAAGGCCGCTTGGGTACACAAGGCGCATTGGGTACACAAGGCGCATTGGGTACACAAGGCCGCTTGGGTACACAAGGCTGCTTGGGTACACAAAGCTCATTGGGTACACAAGGCTGCTTGGGTACACAAGGCCGCTTGGCTACACAATGCTCATTGGGTACACAAGGCTGCTTGGGTACACAAGGCTGCTTGGGTACACAATGCTCATTGGGTACACAATGCTCATTGGGTACACAAGGCTGCTTGGGTACACAATGCTCATTAGGTACACAAGGCTGCTTGGGTACACAAGGCTGCTTGGGTACACAAGGCTGCTTGGGTACACAAGGCTGCTTGGGTACACAATGCTCATTGGGTACACAAGGCTGCTTGGGTACACAATGCTCATTAGGTACACAAGGCTGCTTGGGTACACAAGGCTGCTTTGGTACACAAGGCGCATTGGGTACACAATGCTCCTTGGGTACACAAGGCGCATTGGGTACACAAGGCGCATTGGGTACACAAGGCCGCTTTGGTACACAAGGCCGCTTGGGGTACACAAGGCTGCTTGGGTACACAATGCTCATTGGGTACACAAGGCTGCTTGGGTACACAAGGCTGCTTGGGTACACAAAGCTCCTTGGATACACAAGGCTGCTTGGGTACACAAGGCTGCTTGGGTACACAAAGCTCATTGGGTACACAAGGCTGCTTGGGTACACAAGGCGCATTGGGTACACAAGGCCGCTTGGGTACACAAGGCGCATTGGGTACACAAGGCGCATTGGGTACACAAGGCCGCTTGGGTACACAAGGCTGCTTGGGTACACAAAGCTCATTGGGTACACAAGGCTGCTTGGGTACACAAGGCTGCTTGGCTACACAAGGCTCCTTGGGTACACAAGGCTGCTTGGGTACACAAGGCCGCTTGGGTACACAAGGCTGCTTGGGTACACAAGGCCGCTTGGCTACACAAGGCTCCTTGGGTACACAAGGCTGCTTGGGTACACAAGGCTGCTTGGGTACACAAGGCCGCTTGGGTACACAAGGCTGCTTGGGTACACAATGCTCCTTGGGTACACAAGGCTGATTGGGTACACAAGGCTTCTTGGGTACACAAAGCTGATTGGGTACACAAGGCCGCTTGGGTACACAAGGCCGCTTGGGTACACAAGACCGCTTGGGTACACAATGCTGCTTGGGTACACAAGGCTGTTTGGGTACACAAGGCTGCTTGGGTACACAAGGCTGTTTGGGTACACAAGGCTGTTTGGGTACACAATGCTGCTTGGGTACACAAGGCTGTTTGGGTACACAATGCTGCTTGGGTACACAAGGCTGTTTGGGTACACAATGCTGCTTGGGTACACAAGGCTGTTTGGGTATACAATGCTGCTTGGGTACACAAGGCTGTTTGGTTACACAATGCTGCTTGGGTACACAAGGCTGTTTGGGTACACAAGGCTGTTTGGGTACACAATGCTGCTTGGGTACACAAGGCTGTTTGGGTACACAAGGCTGTTTGGGTACACAAGGCTGTTTGGGTACACAAGGCTGTTTGGGTACACAGGGCTGCTTGGGTACACAAGGCTGTTTGGGTACACAAGGCTGTTTGGGTACACAATGCTCATTGGGTACACAAGGCTGCTTGGGTACACAAGGCTGCTTGGGTACACAAAGCTGCTTGGGTACACAATGCTCATTGGGTACACAAGGCTGCTTGGGTACACAAGGCTGCTTGGGTACACAAAGCTGCTTGGGTACACAATGCTCATTGGGTACACAATGCTGCTTGTGTACACAAGGCTGCTTGGGTACACAATGCTGCTTGGGTACACAAGGCTGCTTGGGTACACAAGGCTGCTTGTGTACACAAGGCTGCTTGGGTACACAAGGCTGCTTGGGTACACAAAGTTGCTTGGGTACACAAGGCTGCTTGGGTACACAAGGCTGCTTGGGTACACAAAGTTGCTTGGGTACACAAGGCTGCTTGGGTACACAAGGCTGCTTGGGTACACAATGCTGCTTGGGTACACAAGGCTGCTTGGGTACACAAGGCTGCTTGGGTACACAATGCTGCTTGGGTACACAAGGCTGCTTGGGTACACAATGCTCATTGGGTACACAAGGCTGCTTGGGTACACAATGCTCATTGGGTACACAAGGCTGCTTGGGTACACAACGCTCCTTGGGTACACAAGGCTCGTGACGCGCGATCAGAGACGGCCCCCGCGGGTGCACGCGCGCTCAGCCTGCGACTCGCGCTGACCGCGCAGAGGCACCTGCACGCCCCGAGGGGCCCTCCCAGGTCCCACCGAGTCTGGCCACAGTGCAGTCGCGTTGTTCTCCCATCACGCGGTGTTCCTGATAAACACCGCGGTATGAGAAACTCTAGTTATAATGAACAATATTTGATATAGGGGGTAAAGCGCAGTCCGCGATAACACGTGAGATGTGTACGCAGGCCGAACAAACACCGAGGCGCGTGGGTAGCATCTAGTAGCATCTAGAACAGGGGTCGGGAACCTTTTTGACTAGGAGAGCCATAAAAGCCAAATATTTCTAAATATATTTCATTGAGAGCCATATAGTATTTTTAACGTATAATAAATTAAATGTCTTACTTTTAATGCGACTTCTGGTGCTGCATGGTTTTGCTGATGGCTTTGTAGTCAGGTTCATACGTGGTGAGGTTGAGCTTCATGCAGGCGTGACCCGTGAAATGTATCTTCAAAACTAATTTCTGTTTACTTTAAAATGACACAGTATTATTAAGAAATATTGCAAGTATTTTAAAATCAGTTCCAAACTGATTTTTTATTTTTTTATTATTATTATTATTTTTCCAACTCAAAATTGTCTGGGAGCCATATGTCGTCACTGGAAGAGCCATATATGGCTCGCGAGCCATAGGTTCCCGACCGCTGATCTAGAAGCATCCAGCAGCATCCCACTGCCTCGTGCGGTGCTACGCCGAGGCCGCCGTACGACCGCTGATTCCTACTCGCGCTGCGACGTAGTCTGTTCGCTCGATCGCGCTATATCCAATTCGCATCCGCGTTGTAAAACAAAGTTGTGTTCCCTCACACATTCATCGCGCTGTATTCAATTCGTTTTTGTTGTGTAAGCGGCTGTTCTTGCCTGCACCTCTGGCGCGTTGTTCCAATGCAGCCTGCGCCCCTCTGATGTGCCTCTCCGTGCGCTGTGACGACACGCACCACGGATCTCCCTTGCAAGCTAGCTGGGTAACTGGCTCTATTGCACTTTCCGTACAACAAATTAACATTGATTGATTCAATTCCTCCTCCTACTACTACTACTAAAAGTGTCTTGAGACTCAACGAGGCCATCCTGGGTAAAACAAGCGTAATGATACATTACAGTAAATATTAATTTAAAAAAAACCCGTTATTCTTTACACCCCCCACCCACTCTCCCTCGGCGGCAGGTCGGGCTGTGGTGTGCGGCGTGCGCTGCGAATTCCCTCCCGCGTTGCGCCCCCTCGTGTCCGCGTCCCGATACTGCAGAGATCCCCCGCGTTCAAACTAAATGCCATCGTGACTTCAAGCTTTCGTGACTGCAGGAATTCATATTCTTTGGGTCTTTCGGTAAAGTCACGTAGATAGGTTCAAAGGAAAATAACACGAGTTTTTTAGTTCTTTTTTCGTGATTTTCTTTGAACATATCTACGTGACTTTACCGAAAGACCCAAAGAAAAAAAATTCCATCGCTCGTTCAACGCGGCAGTGGTCGATGCGTTCCTGACAAAGAGAGCCGCGTTGAGCGAGGAATTGCCGCTGCTCATGGCTGCGGCGTGACAGCAATGGAAGGGTGCGCGTGTGGAACAAAAACCCACCTCCAGACATTCACAGACACGGCACAAAGTCGCCTTTATTGACTAGTGTGTCGTAGCGGACACTTGAGAACTTACACGGGTTATTAGTTACATGAGAACATTGTCAAAGCAGCTAGCGACACATCTAGCCTCGTGCGGCAACACACACTTGTGTCATATGAATGCTCACTTCATCGGGTGTCCCTTGATTGCTACGTGTGTGCAGTGTTTATTTTGTGTGTTTTAGTTTGTGGTGTTTAAGTTTGCGGTGTTTTATTTTGTGTGTTTTAGTTTGTGGTGTTTTAGTTTGTTGTGTTTTAGTTTGTTGTGTTTTAGTTTGTGGTGTTTTAGTTTGTGGTGTTTTAGTTCGTCGTGTTTTAGTTCGTGGAAGCGCAGTACAACAGCAGACCGGCTTGCTGTACTGCCCTCCGCTGCGTAAACCACGTGGTCCCACGACAACCTGTGCCCAGTGTTGTGCGTTGTGGTCATCCGGCCAATGACTGGACAGGCTCCAAAAACCCCCACCTCCTCCACCCGCTTCGCTTCCAAGATCTGACATGATTGGGCGCATTTCAGGCGAGATATGGTCATCGGCAGTTAATGCGATCAATTAAAACAAATGTTCTATTTATGTGACAAACCTTACTAATTGGCTGTGTCGGGTGGTGGCGGGTTCAACGACACATTTATGCGATCTAACCCAACAAAAACCTTTAACTATGGATTAAACAAATCGTTGACTGTTGACGCGAGTGGGAGTCATCGACTGGTGTAGTAATGGGTACGTGATGGCAGAGGTGTGGACTCGAGTCATGTGACTTGGACTCGAGTCAGACTCGAGTCATGAATTTGATGACTTCAGACTCGACTTGGACTTGCATAACAATGACTTTGTCCCACCTCTGAGGTGTGGACTCGAGTCATGTGACTTGGACTCGAGTCAGACTCGAGTCATGAATTTGATGACTTCAGACTCGACTTGGACTTGCATAACAATGACTTTGTCCCACCTCTGCGTGATGGTATTAACTTTGAAAAGGTCTAATGCAGGATTTCCCTGACCCCAGTCCTCACGACCCACCGCCACGCTTCGCCATCCTGCATTTACCAAATGACTCCTCCACCATTCAAAAACAGGTTAACGCATCCCATGCTGCATGCGCCCGATGGTTGTTAAACACATCCCACGTGACACGCTAAGCAGTTAACGCTGTGTCACATGGAACACGTGTGCTGTACCCGTACACGAACCACTTTACTGCTATTTTTGTTTTACCAGGTGAGGCCCATTGAGCTATGTAGCTCTTCTTCAGAAGCGATCTGGCCGTCACAAATGATAGCTCAACGAAGTAGTGGCTCATCATCACGTGGGCATGTATAGCAGCCAAATACTCTAAATGTTTTTAAATGTGGAGGGAAAAACCAGAGGATCCGGAGAAAAATCCACGCGACCACGGGGAGCACATGCAAATATACAGCAGCAGGCGTCAGGGTCGAAATCGAACCCACGACCTCCTGTATACCAGGCGAGGTAGTTAACATCTCGCCACATGTATTGTGTGTGTGTGTATACACGAAATACGTGTACACCACACGTGCACACTGAGATCTTAATGTAACGTGAATCGGCTCTATTAATGCAAGAACGTTGATTGTTTAGCGGCATCACGTGGGACGTCTTTGACAATCATCGGACGCGGGCAGCAGCGTGGAACCAAGTCACGTGTGCTTGAATGGGGAGTAAATTCGGTAAACGCGGAAAGACGTAGCGTGGTGAGTCGCCAGGAATTGGGAAACCCTGGTCGAATAAAACCTGGATCTACCGATTACAATTGATTCTTAGAACACAATGCATCCAGGGAATGGGGGGGTCATATTTGTTGCATGTCAAACTTGAAATCCAGCTGGGTCTGTTCCGTGTCATTGACCCGGAAGATACGGTTCAGCACACCGGCACATCGCAGCGAGGGTGCCGCTCGCTATGCCTGCTGGCTGCTCGTCGCGTGTGACTTGTCTATTCCAGTCGAGCAGCGACGCAGAAGATTAGTCGTCGATGAATGGATCCCCGGCCGTATTCGCGGTCAGCTCGCTAAGACCTCTACCGGCATCACATTGACAAAAACTAATAAGAATGAGGCGTTAATGAACGTTACTTAACATTACATTATGAAGTAAGGTGTGTCTGTATCGCTTGTTATTCCTATACTGACCGATTTCTTATATATATATATGTTTTTTTCATCACGTGTAGTGTACTGCGTCACGGAAGGCAAACGCCTTCGGCCGTACACGCACCGCTGTGGGCGGCACGGGCCACCCTGAGCTGGCGAGCGTCAGTCCAGAGTGTGGAGGGGGGCTGGCTCACTTCTTCTGGAGCAGCTCCTCCTTGAGCTTGTGAGCCACCCTCTTCCTCTGCTCCAGCGTCTGCGACTCCTCCGTGCGTGCGCCCTGCGGTGAGCACACAATGTCATCAGCACGCGCCAGCTCTGCCGTTGGCGCCCTAATAACGAAAATGATGATGATGATGATAACAACGAAGGTGCCACAATACAATTGCTCGCTCACGCACCTACTGGCAGGAAGTGCACCCGATTAGCTACGTACGGTGCGAAAGAAGTTCAACGTACTGTACGTACAGCTCTATCGAGCATCGCTCGGTGGTGTGTGGCCAACTCTTGCACGTTGGCCAGTGTGCCTCAGAAGAGGCGTTGGGTACACCCACATTTTATCCCACCACGCATAATCGGCCGATCGACTCACCGTGGTGTACTCATTTATATCTGCTGGTTGGACAGATGTGGTGAGGGCAGGGGGGATTTAATAAACGTGATCCATCGTTTAACACGTAGGCTTTCGCGACCAATATTATTCATAACAAAGATTTTTGGGTTAGATCGCGTTGGTATAAATGTGTCGTAAGCCTCCACCATCCGACGCAGCCAGATAGGTTCGTCACGTAAACAACGCGCCAATTAGTTACTACTTCAGCCCACCGGTGTGTTGGAGAGCGATCCATCGTTTTATACTCCAGGGCCGGGAGATCGAACCGGCGACCTCTGGATTGCAACAACAGCGCCCTTTAGTTACTCGAGCATGAAGGCCTCGCCGAGTCTCAACACCTCCTCAGGAAGGTCCTGATCTGCTGCACAGACGGGTTCAACGAACCCGCTTGCTGTGCTGCCATCTCCTGTCTACCTCGCATGCAAAGCCGAAAGGTTACTAATATTATTATTGTAACATCAATGCATAGAGGTGTGGCGGTTGAAATATACTTCTTGAAAGAAAGACGCGATCAGAAAAACGAATAGATCAGACGAGTTGGCCTGTGGCCGCATCTGCGCCCGAGAGCCATTGCTGATGTTGGCTGCACGTGATTAGATTCTCTGCTTCTGTTGCATTAAATCAACAGGTAAGTTCAACCTCTGCAGGCCCCGCCCATTCCTGTTATGCCCCGCCCCCATCACTCCCTAGACCACGCCCCTTCCTCTGCAGGCCCCGCCCATTCCTTTTTAATGCCCCGCCCCCATCACTCCCTAGACCACGCCCCTTCCTCTGTAGGCCCCGCCCATTCCTCTTTTATGCCCTGCCCCCATCACTCCCTAGACCACGCCCCTTCCTCTGCAGGCCCCGCCCATTCCTCTTTTATGCCCTGCCCCCATCACTCCCTAGACCACGCCCCTTCCTCTGTAGGCCCCGCCCATTCCTCTTTTATGCCCCGCCCCCATCACTCCCTAGACCACGCCCCTTCCTCTGCAGGCCCCGCCCATTCCTCTTTGTGCCCCTCCCCCCCCGACTACTTCGGCCCCGCACCTTCCCGCGGGCACGGGTTTGGGCTTGTTTGGGTAGCCGTGGTGGGGGTTGTAGAAGGGGGGTGGTAGGGTGGTGATGGAGGGAGGGTAGCAGTGGTAGTGGTGAGCGGGGCTATGGATCGGGTGGCTACACGACAGCGACGACCTCAATCCTTTTAGAGCAGCACTATAAGAGCATTATAGATTAAAGCTCTTATAATTAAAGATTCTTATAATAATACTAGATGGACTAGAGCAGTGGTCGACAAACCAAAATAACAATAAGAGACAATTTTTTTCGAATTCGGTAAAAACTCAATATTTCATGAGCCGCAATGCATGTCAATACGAGACCGTGGCCCTTAATAAAGAACGTCACGAAACAGTCTTTAAGGAAACGCATGCGGCTCCGGAACTGCAGGTTGACAACTCCTGCCCATGGTAAAGTGGACTCCCATGGTAATCTCCCATGGTAATGTAGACTCCCATGGTAAACTGGACTTCCATGGTAAACAGGACTCCGTAAAAAAAAAACCCTCAATATTTCAAGAGCTGCGATGCAGTCCTTGAAGGGCCGCATGCGGGTCCGGGGCCGCAGGTTGCCGAATGAAAAACACGCCTGCGTGTGCGCACGCCGCTCGCCTGTTTCCCCGTGGCCGTGGCTGCCGGCCCCGGCCGATCGGCGACAGCGCCGCCCGTGGCCGACGGGCCTCTCCGCGGAGCGTCCCCGTCGCCGCCGCAGCCGCCGGCCGTGCACGCGTCCGCCCTGCCGGGACCCGGCGCCTTTCGGTCGTTGGAGACGGCGCTGGCCTGCCGCTGCGACGAGCCCAGCTGCTCGCGTTTTGCCGCCAGCAGGCGGTCCCGCTGCTGCCTCAGGTACTCCTCCCTGCTCCGCAGCTCTTCCGCAGACAGGTTCTACCAACACGCGTTGACACACACAGAATCAGAGAGGTTCTACCAAGACGCATTGACACACACACACAGAATCAGACAGGTTCTACCAACACGCGTTGACAGACACACACAGAATCAGAGAGGTTCTACCAACACGCGCAAACCTCGCCAGGACGTGGAGCGCCACACTCCAATGTTTTCAAAAATTACATCGTGAGAGGGCTCCCCCAGAACTCTGGTAGTACCGCGGGGCGGGGGGGGGGGGGGGCACGGCACATCCACTCGAGATATTTGGGGGATGCACTTCAATTGAGCAGATGCTAAAAGGACGACGTTTTGCACGGTGTCGCCGCACCGGTCGGCCCTACGTGACCTCATCGCATCTAGTGGCATCATCACATCTACCCCAGCCGCCTGGAACAAAACAAAACAGGATTTCTCCACAAATCTGGATGTCCGCCTAATGATGGCGGTTGTAATTACTGGCAAAACGTCGTACTCAGATTGTAAATGTTGTGTATTTGCTCTCCGACACACCGGTGTGCTGCACTAGTAACGAAATGGCACGTTCTGTTTACGTGACAAACCTTACCAATTGGCTGCGTCGGGTGGTGGCGGGTTTAACGACACATTTATATATTTACGCGATCTAACCCAAACCTACGTTATGGATGATATTGGTCGTGAAAGCCTACGTAGTGTTAAACTGCCCGTACGTGTTTCAGGGAGACGGCTGCCTCCTTGGGCCTCGTCTCGTGGAGCTTAGAGGCCTGGGCCTTGCCCGGCAGGGCCGCCCCGTTGGGCTGGCTCGCACGGGGCTGCTGCTGTTGCCGCTGCTGGGCCACCGCATCCGCGCTCATCCCACCTGGCGGCTCGGAGGGGAGTTGGTGTGGAGGCGGCTGGGTTGCTTGACTCCCGCCTGTGGAAGCAGAGCGTTGCTGTGCCATTGGAAACACGTTGTTGAGCGCAAATGGACACGCCCGGGTACATTCTCAAATGTAAGGTGGTGCACATACAATCCCTTTGTGCCAATCGAATGCTAGACCATATTTAACCACGTTAGGGAGCTGTGTGGCTCAAACCTGCTGAGCCTCCGAGATCTGATGGGTATTCTCGTGATCTGGCAATAGAAGGTAGCGAATCGCAGCGAGACGTGTCGAAGGAACTCATGGGGTGTGGATGGTTGGCCGGGTGGCTCAGAGGTCCAAGCACTGAGCTGGCGCCACTGAGATCCTGAGTTGGAATCTGGGTGTCAGCCACTCGTGAACAACCCGGGTTCTCAAACGCATTAGGTTGACAGTCTCATTCCCGGTCACCAAATGACTGCGCAAAAACGATTATGTTAAAGTTGGCTTTGACACTTTACTTGGCGAAATTCCAGCTCTTGAGAATCAAAACTACGTCCGCTTGAATTCCACGTGACAATTCTCATAGCAGGGTGTGTGGGAAAGTGTACCCCGAGCTGCGTGAAGATTAACGGGGCCACGTGAAGTCTACTTGATGAGAAATCCCACTAAAGGTTTCTTCGATAGCCATTCTGGACACGTGGGTCTGCGTTGCTCTTTGAGAGTTCCAGACGGAGCCTGCGGCTCTTGACACGACCGCAAGAGTACAAGTGGAAAATCGTAATAATACTTGGGAAAAGCACAACAGCGTGTAACTGACCAGGCACAGACGGGACGTCCTGCCGCGCTGCTGGTGCAGATGACGCACCGGCAGCCTGGTGCTGGGATGGGCCCGTCGCGCCAGGCGGCTCGTCCGCAACGTCAGAACAGCGTCGACCGCTCGGGCCCGGCACGTCCGCGCAGCACTCGCTGACCTAGGCCGAGACCCACGCGCGTGATCAGGCGGGACGCCAGCGGCGCAGGGCTCCGCCGCGTCACACCCATTGGCACTTCCTTCAAGGGCCACTCTCGCAGCCTCCATCATCCTCAGTGGTCATCACCAACATCATCTGGCACTTCACCTTGTCACAAGAGTCAACGCGTCCTCCAGGGACCGTTCCTACAGTCTCATCATCATCATCACCACCACCACCGTCGGAGCTCACCCCGGTAACCTGCGCTCCTCCACTCTGCATGCGTGTCGTGGGTTGGCCCGGCCATTTCCCAGGGTCCTGGACTGTAGCGAGATATGTTTTTGAAAAAGAAAGCCACTCTAAATCGTGGTGTCCGCGACAGCTCCGCAGAGCGATTCCCATGCCCTGACGGACCAACCAGTGGTCCGCGACCCCATAAGCTGGGAACACCCCGGGGTCAACCGAGGCCAACGTGGTCCAGTTACCACACACACATAACCATCGCCCCCCCCTTCTAGCTTGCCCAGGCCGGGTGAGCTGAGCTATGAAGATGTGAAACCTGATGATGGATGGAGCCCTGTAGCAGAGGTCGCCCTTCTCTGCATGGCTCTTCATCCTCCTGCTCCTCCGTGGTGCCGGGCTCCAGGATGCACGACCTCCTCCACCGCTGCTCCATCTCGTACTGCTGCTTGGACGCCCTGCATACCCCACAAATGCAGCCGTGACAAAGATCCCCCGGTATAGCCCTAACAGGCTGTTGGGGCAAGTCCCGTTAGCGAGCACCTATGTAGGGCCGGCACGGCACACGAGGGGGCGGGTGGCCAGCACCACGCCCGGCCGCCTTTGTCACCCCGGTGGCGATGTTTACACACCGCACAGGGTACTTATTTGAGGCTGAGTCGACCTAGGGGAGGACTAGGACCGGTTGAGATAATCGTCACTGGTGTTGGCCTTGAGTGGGAATCAATCTTGGGCCCCCGGGTTTGTAGCGCAGCACGCCAACCGCGACACTACCGCTCCCCGCACACACGAGTCGACGCACGTATTGAATGTTTAAGAAATTATTTCAATCGCCTCATCAGTTCGTCTGCGCTGGTCTCTGGGAAACAGCCCAAAGTGTCACGACCATTATCGGCCACGAAATCCGCACAAAAACACAACGGAGACTATTTGTGAAACAAACTAAAGCCATTTTCCAGTGGGCAGTGGGACCGACTAAAAGGATTTGCGGGCCTACGCATTACCACCGCCTAATTTGTCAGTGATAACTCTCCTGGGCATCCTCGGCCCGGGACGATCGTCCTGAATTCCCCCCGCTAAGAGGCTTATCCGGAGATTGTCTTCAAAGCTCGTTTTTCAAAAATCCTCTCCCGCTCGCTCCGCGCACATTCTCGCCGGGAAATTTTGGGCGGGCGATTTTTGATTTTGGCAGCGCACCGTGCAAACCCCCCCCCCCCCCGTCCCCCGTCGATTAATTTCCCCCCCCCTAAAAAATTCGCACACTCACGGCCACCGTGGCCTAAGGACAGACACACAGTGACTCCGCTTGGCCCATCAGGGCGTCGTGGGATTGCTCCGTGGAGGTGTTGCAGACACCTCGTTTTAAAGTGGCTTTGAATATATATTCTTGGTTCTTTCGGGAAAGTCACGTAGATAGAAAACTAAAAATATTAAAATTTTAATTTTTTTGTTTCCTATCTACGTGACTTTACAAAAAGAACCAAGAATATGAATTCCTGCAGTCATTAAAGTTTTAAGTCAAAATTTGCCTTTCAATATTCCAAAAAATATCTTGTTACAGTCCGCAGCAGGCATCAGGGTCAGGATCGAACCCATGACCTCTTATATATTAGGCAAGGCAGACAACATCTTGCCACCACGGAACCCAATCGACTTCTCTGTGGTCTCTCTGTTTAAGTGCTATGAAGAAGGGACATTGCCTGAAACGTCACCATATTTATATTGTCCTTTAAACGCCACTCGCGGTGTTATTGACGAACAAGTTGAGTTTGTTTGTTATTTGTGCTTGTGCACCACTGTCAATGCAGCAGCAGCATCACCAAATAAATTGTTCGGTTATTAATACACGGGTGCCACAGTGGCCAGATGTTAACTACCTCACCTGGTGTACAGGAGGTCGTGGTTTCAATCCCGACCCTGGCGCCTGCTGCTGTATATTTGGAGTTTGCGTGTCTCTCTCCCCGTGCTTGTGTGGATTTTTCTCCGGATCCTCAGTTTTTCCCTCCACATTAAGAATCAACATCATGCATTTAGAGTATTCGGCTGCTATAAATGTCCACGTAATAAGCCACTTCATTGGGATATCATCTGTGGCGAGGTCGCTTCCGAAAAAGAGCTAACTTAGTGGGCATTACTTGGCTAAATAAAAAAAAATTGTCCGGTTTTAGTTTAGTTTTAACATAAAATCAGGCACTCACGCCCAGCGTACCTCTCTGTGTGATCGACACGTGCCGCATCATGATATCCCTGGGAGCTTACGCGCCCCGCACGGCTGCCACGTTCGCGAAATCCTTCCGCAGTCCCACGCCGGCCGCCAACGGCAGCAACGCCGCCGACAAAGGAGGCCCTGTTTCAAGCTCTTTGGCAGTCCGTTTTGTGTCCCGGGTGTGTGCCGACCGAGCTATATCTGTGTTACACCGATAGAGACGCAGAGCCCATTCGGAGCCCTCGCGGGGCGGTGCAACCTGGCGACCGCCAACTCGCGACATCTGAGAAGCCGATTTAACCGGAGGGCCTCAGCCTCGACTTGAACCCGGGGGTCCGAGCTGTGTCAGCTGGCTGCTCTGACCTCTGAGCCACGCGGCCACTTCAGGGGTCTTGTTTCATATAAATGCACACAGTCTGTTCTGTCAGGCACCTTGACATCTATCGTGCTGTGACACTCCTCAATAACGCAGCGACGCTCCTCCAGCCTCAGCTCCTTCCCACTCACTGACTCCCGTGCCGTCCACCGCTCACGCTGTGCCCGGCACTTGGGTGGCCACGTGGAGACCCTGTTTCACCTTGCTGTGGCCGTGCACAAAGCATTAGGGCAGGGGGATCAGGCATCTTACGCAAGAGGTGCCGTTTGGGTGGGGTAAGGATGCTATGGACTCGATTAGAGATTCGTTGATCGTGGCGCTTCCTAATTGTGGATTAGGGCCACCACACTGTATATGGTCACGTGCTAGTCCAGTATGGGCGGCCTCTCTTCCACTTGCCCCACCTGCAGCCACTCTTCTTAACAATTGGACGTCCATAATATTTAAAAAAATGCCTAATTCGACATCTGAACGCGCGCGGTGCGGTGGCCGCCCTTGTTAGAATGGCCAGCCAAAATCCGCCGCCAGCATGACCGGAGTCTGCGTGATGGTTGACGCAACTTGACGAGATCAGCAAGGTGGAATTGTGGTTCATTTGTGGCAAGCACTCTGTGTGTCATGAATGCGACCAAACTGCTTACTCTATCCTCCTCCACCCTGCACACCGTGTCCCACCCATCACTCCTTCCACTCCCTCCCCCTCCCCATTGCATCGTCAACCCACGTTACATTGCGAACCCCCAACTTGCTTCCCCGCCTATCCAGCCGTGACACGGCCTGGTCGGTTGGCCAATTAACACAGGGGGACAGGGGTGGCCGGAGTTGGGAGACGGAGCAGAGAGAGAGAGAGATGTGACTAAGGCACCTGATCGCCTCCTGCAGAAGTTGCATCTCTTCCCGGTCCAGCTCTCCTGCCTTGTCCAATCCGTCCACGCTCATGCACTCGGGTATCACGCCTGCAGCACAGCGGCAACACGGCCACAGATTAACCACCACCACCACCACCCACCGCCATAGGCAGCCGTCTCACCCGTGGGCAGCGGCGTACGAAGTCGGACGCATCGGAGGATGTTGGAAATGCTCGTTGATGAACGTCTTGGGTGTTTTTTTCAATAACATTTCGTTTCCTTTTTGGTTCTTTGGGTAAAGTCACGTAGGTATAAAATAAGATTAAATCACGACGTTTCGGGCGCAACACAAGCCTCCGTCATCAGGTGGGACAACCACAGCAAGAAACACTTCAGCAATTGTTTCTTGCTGTGGTTGTCGCTTGTGTTGCGCCCGAAACGTCGTGATTTAATTAAAATTTTCACCTACGTCACTTTACCGAAAGAACCAAAGAGTATGGATCCCTGCAGTCACGAAAAACTTCAAATCTAGATTATATTTCGTTTGTGCGTGAGAATACTGTGTTACAATTCTCACCACTTTTTTATACGGTGTTCTCCTTTTGTGCTTTTCTTACTCGTTTTTATTGACGTAGTATTACACTGTGCTCTTTTGCCTACCTATTGCCTCTATTGAATTTGTTGCTGTTATAGCTGCTGCACTGCTTGAGAGGAGAGAGAGCTTACAAGTAAAGCACGTCACTGCACCGCGTTACACTTCGCTGTATCCTGTGCATCTGACAACTCAACTTTAGATTGATTACATTTGGTATTTGCGCCACTCTTACAGTGCGAGGCTATCACGACGAAGGAAGGTGGCGTGATTTTTAAAGACGCAGTGTGCGGTAGTTTCACTCTGATGGATGGGAGGGGGGGTGCCAATGTTTGCGTGTTTCCAGTTGAGTCATCTGTCGGTTACATTTAAAACTTGGACCACGACGCCGGCACGGTTGGCTATGTTACGGTGCGAAAGAAGTTCAACATACATACACATACAGTACGCACGCAATGGGCTTGCTCTTTTTCGGCTGACGTCACGGGATCTCTAACGTCCCCCGTGAAGCAGATGGCGCGTGGTATTTTTTTTACGGTAAATGCACCCACGGTAATAACGAGGGCGGCGTCTGGGTTCGAACGGCGAAGCTCGGCAACAAGCGACGAACGTGCCACAGCTCTGCCATGTCACCCATCACAGTTTCTAACAAAAAGACAAAGATCCCCCGTATAGCTGTAACAGACTGTTGGGGCAAGTGCTCTGAGCGAGCACCTATGAAGGCCGGCACGGCACACGAGGGGGTGGGTGGCCAGCACCACGCACGACCGCCTTTGTCTCCCTAGTGGCGATGTTTACACACCGCACCAGGTACTCATTTGAGGCTGAGTCGACCGAAGGGACGCCCAGGACCGGTTCAGATAATCGTCACTGCTGTTCACCGTGAACGGGAATCGAACTCGGGTCGCCGGATACATAGCGCATCAGCACGAACTGCTACACCACCGCTTCCCACAATTTTTTACAACAACAACCGCCATTCGCCACTAAGTGGCGGTGACATCACCACGGTGCTTGTGCCAGGCTAGGTGCACTTTAAGGCCACGTGAGGTGTCGAACGCCCGCTGGCAGGAGGTCATGGGACAGACCCAGGTGCCATGGGTTGACTGACTGAGATGACTGGCAAGATGCATCACCTGTACCCCTTACTAACACACACACACACGACATCTGAGCCACCTGGCCACCGCCATGCTTCTGCCACTCACCCTTCTGCTCCTGCAGGTGCATGAGCGCCTGCAGCTCCAGCTCAATGTTCTTGCGCACCATGAGCCCCTTGAAGAGCTCAAAGTCGTCTGCTGCCAGCACGGGCTCGAAGACCTGCTGGCGTCGCACGCGGCAACACAAAGAGAAAGACGATGATCCCCCGTTTCGCCTTAACAGACTTTTGGGGCAAGTGCTGTTAGCGAGTAACACCTATGAAGGCTGGCACGGCACACGAGGTGGCCCGTATCATATTAGGAAGCCACTGGAGCCATGTATTATGTTTGTAGTCCTTCCCCCGCACCTCCGATTATCACGGTTGGCTACGTACGGTGCGAAAGAGGTTCAACATACACACAACACACCTGGCCACCTTTGTCCAAGCAGGAAAGCAGCCACAACAACTGCCCAACCTCTGGGGTCCTTTTCACGTGAAGGCGTTATCAGCCAAACGATGGGAGTGTAAACACGTGGTGAGGAAAGCGGAGCACCTCCAGATAGCCCACACATGCGAGGGGGCAACTCTCCACCTGTACAGAAGGCACAGGTGGAGCCTGGCGAGCCAGGGTCCTCCCCCTCCTCCTCCCTGACTCCCACGGGAAGCGAGTTTCACGACGTCTGCGCGGCGATTCACCAACCCTCGCTGCTGCCTCCGCAGCGCTGGATTACAAGGCTTGCGCCACTCCGCAGCCCGGCTAAGTCGACATGCATCAAGATGTTAAGCCTGGGATTTGAAGGGGTGAAGAGTAGTCAGCATTGTGGATGGCCACGAGGAGCCACAGCAGTGAGGGCAGCAGAGGAGGGCTCTCGTTGAACACAATTCACCCCGAATGCACCCGATCCCATCGGATCTCGCGCGCAAATATGGTAGGTCCTCACTTGACGCACGGTGCTCACGTGAGTTCTCGCGGTAACGCGGTTCTCCCATTAGGGAACACGTTTCGCACAACGCGGAAGGCGTGCCGTTATAATGCGGAAGGCGCGCCGTTATAACGCAGAACACTGTTATAACACGGAATGCGCCCGTTATAACGCGGAATCCGTACCATTATAACGTGAAACACACACCGTTCTCACGCACTTTCTGAGCGGTTGACAACTACTTTTTTAGCTGAGTGGTACGGTGATACGGTACGTGGATTGATGCGGTAACACGGCGGTTTACCCTCAGTTACTTGTCCCGCCATCTCACTGCGTGCGTGTAGTAGTACATGGTATCTCACCAAACTTTTACCGTTACATTATTTATGGGAAATCGTTTGTTCTCCAACCGCCTTTTTCTCCCGACGTGGCACTTTCCAGGAACGCATCTACTACTGCTGCTATTGCTGCTGCTATTGCTGCTGCTACTGCTGCTACTGCTGCTGCTACTGCTGCTACTACTGCTGCTACTGCTGCTACTGCTGCTGCTACTGCTGCTACTACTGCTGCTACTGCTGCTACTGCTGCTGCTACTACTGCTGCTACTGCTGCTACTGCTGCTACTACTGCTGCTACTACTGCTGCTACTGCTGCTACTACTGCTGCTATTGCTGCTGCTATTGCTGCTGCTACTGCTGCTACTGCTGCTACTACTGCTGCTACTGCTGCTACTACTGCTGCTACTGCTGCTACTGCTGCTGCTACTACTGCTGCTACTGCTGCTACTGCTGCTACTACTGCTGCTACTGCTGCTACTGCTGCTGCTACTGCTGCTACTACTGCTGCTACTGCTGCTGCTACTACTGCTGCTACTGCTGCTACTACTGCTGCTACTGCTGCTACTACTGCTGCTGCTACTACTGCTGCTGCTACTACTGCTGTTACTAGTAATGCTGATACTGCTGCTACTGCTGCTGCTACTGCTGCTACTGCTGCTACTACTGCCACCACCAGCGCGTTGTTGGCGTTTTTAAAACGCAAAAATAATTAGTGCAGTGGCACGCTTTGCACGTCAAGATGACAGCACCATCCTTGGGTACATGGCGAGTCCTCGAAATTCCGGGGTGGGGTGCTCCAGTATTGCCGTGGAGTGCCACTGTGCCTCCTCTTCTATTGAAGGAGCACAGGCCACAGTGGTCTACTGTACGGTCCATAGTTTGGGGTGCCGCGGTGACTATGAGATGTTAACTACCTCGCCTGGGATGCAGGAGGCCTTGGGTTCGATCACGACCCTGACGCCTGCTGCTGTATATTTGGAGTTGGCGTGCTCTCTCCGTGATTGCGTGGATTTTTCTCCGGGTCACTGCGGTTATTTTTCACTCCACGTTTAGAATCAACATCACGCGTTCAGAGTATTTGGCTGCTAGACACATCCACGTGACAAGCCACTTCGTTGGGCTATCGTTTGTGGCCAGGTCGCTTCTGAAAAAGAGCTACGCAGCTCAGTGCGCCGTGCCTGGTCAAATACAAAAAAGTTTAGTTTGCAGTTAGTTAGCGTGGCCACATTCACGCTGCTGAGGCTCGTGGCGAGATGTTCAGAGAGGTACGGGCGCCGCAGACACACCCCGCCCGACCGCCTTTGTCTCCCCACCGCCGCACCGTGACCACCTACGTGCAGGTGCTCCGACTGCACACTCTGGGCGCTGCACGCATCCAGCAGCTGCTGCTCCGAGATGCCCATGTCCTGCAGGTAGCTCTCCAGCAGACCCTCCACCTACACGCGCAGGCAGGCATGGCATGGCAGGCGAGGGGGAGCCCCACACTTTATGCTGGACGGCTGCCCCACGGTATAATCGTTTAGCCGCTGTGCACTGGCCCCTATACAAAACCAAAACAAATCTTAGATATTTATCGCAACGAGCGACTTTTTACCCGCGGCACCCCACGGGAAGGGGTGTAGAGTCAAGGATGTAATATATGGGAAGATAAAAGAGTTAAGAGGAACGGGAAGAGAGAAGAGCAAGCATGGGAAATCAGAGGAAAAGGATGGAAAAGGAATGGAGAAATGGGACCCGAGGTGTCAGGGAACGTGAGGATAGGGAGGAAGAGGCGACCTAAGGGGCTTCGACGCTGTTGTCACAGCGGGCGGGGAGAGGGGAGCAATTTCGCATCTGTGATTTGCAGGGTTGGCGACGTACGGTGTGAAAGAAGTTCAACATACACGCATACATTCTAAGGGGGGGTCGGCCACACAGAAGTGGCGTGATTTACAGGAGGCTCGAGCTGATTGAGATATACAGTAGAGGTCTATCTGCAGCAGAATGTCGCTGAGCAACCAGGAAAGCAGTGCTGTGGACAATGCAGTCTGCAGTGACACGGTGTGTAGAGACGCGGCGTGCAGTGACACACTGTGTAGTGACACAGTGTGTAGTGATACAGAGTGCCACTGCGCCCAATGAAGCTGGAACCTGGATTTGAACCTACGATTCCAGAGTTGCCAGCGCACGGCTCTGACACGGCCATCATGAGTAAGGCCATGGACCCACCACCGCCCACTCCATTCTACCCTCAAGGCAGTTTTTACTTGCGTCAAATGCCATGAGATGCGATGGCATTTAGACACTAGGGCATGTGAATTGACAACCGTTTGTCGTTGTTGTACAAGTTGCATCCTCATTAAGACTCATCAGTCGAGTGCTGCACAGCCATCATTTCCTACCGCTACAATTTGTGACCGGGGGATTTATGATGAGTGGGCAGCCCAGTGTCTGCACGGTGGAGGCCCAGGAGGGCAGAGAAATCTGCGGTACAGGCAAAGCTACTTACAAGCGCCATGCAAAGCTCAGTGATAATTAAACACAAAGACAAAACGAAGATCTCCCCGTGTAGCTTGCGCAGGCTGCTGGGGCAAGTGCAGGCCACTATGCATGGATGTACGTTGAACTTCTTTCACACCGTACGTAGCCAGCCGTGCGTATCGGAAGTACGGAGAAAGGATAACAAACTAACACACAAAAAGCAGTGATCAAGAATTGAGTTTTCATGGCATATGGGAGGGTGGGTGGCCAACACCACGCCCGACCGACTTTGCCTCCCCATTGCCTACGTTTTATACACACCGCTGCAGGTACTTATTGAAGGCTGAGTTGACCTAGGGGCGTTCCCAGGACCGATTCAAATTATTTGCCGCTGTTGTTGGTCACGAGTGGGAATCAAGCCACGTTCGCAGCGCAGTGCGCTAACCACTACACTACCTCTCCCCATTCAAAGATTTAAAAAAAAGTCTTAACGGGCTGCTGGGGCAAGTGCTGTTAGCAAGGACCTATGAAGGCCGGAATGGCACACGAGGGGGTGGGTGACCAGCACCACGCCTGACCGCCTTTGTCTCCCGAGTGACGATGTTTACACACCGCACCAGCTACTAATTTGAGGCTGATTCGACCTAGGGGAGGCCTAGGACCGGTTCAAATAATTGTCACTGGTGTTGACCGTGAGCGGGGATCAAACTCGGGTCGCCAAGCTCGTAGCATGGCGCGCTACCCGCTACACTACTGCTCCCCACACACTACGTACGGTGCGAAAGAAACTCAACATACATACATACACGCACATGCAAGGGTCTGCAGGGCAAGTGTTGTCTGAGTGCACTCACCAGCTCCTTGTACTCCCTGTGGATGTCCGTGTACGAAAGTTTATTCTCCTCTCCTGGATCGAACACTGAGTGTCAGAAGTTTCAGAATCAGAGAGTTTATTTCCCACTGAGATGAAGCCCATTTAGCCGCACGGCCCCCTCCCTGTTCAAGGGGCGACTTCGGCTGTCAGACAACTACCGCAGCAAAGCGTTACAACAAATGACCAGTTTAATAAGCTCGCTTAAGTAAAATAAAATCTAATAACATTACAGTATCTTCAAATGTAAACACGTACACAGATGAATGCCAGCAGGCAACAGCAGCAGCAAATTACCAGTTAATACGCGCACGCTTTAAAAAAAAAGGTTCACCATAACAATATTATCTTCAAACGTTAACATGTTCACAGTTATGTACAATCACACTTGATACTCTGTGATCTGCGCGGTGTCTGTTTAAGGCAATGCGGGGATGGCAGAGTGGGAGGAGATGGCCAAGGAGAAGACACCAACCAGGTGGGTCCTAAACCTTCCAGCAGCTACAGAAAACGCTCTCGAGCCAAACTGTGAATGGAATCTGTGAATTGTCAACAAACAATCGCAACCGATCAGCATGATGAAGTATATTAGTTATCATGACCAACATGGCATTGAGAGTCCTTCATTCAGGAGTAGATTTACAAAGAAGTATGAATGATGCGAAATTATTCAGACAGGAATGTCAAACCGACTCTCAGCACTCATTATTTCTGGAGAGGTCGGTCCTGCATTGTGATGTTTGCCCAATTCCGTGAATGAGTTGGGGGCCGGCCATAAATGACGTCACGCGATTTTGGACGATTTTTGACCCCCCCCCCCCCCCTTCGTCACACGGCGTCACAAAAAGTCATCCCCCCCTCAAATATGACGTCACAAAGCTCTGCCCCGCCCCCCCAATAGATAAAACATGCTTCAAATCACTTTAAACTATTGTCATTGTAGTGCGTATTTAATGTGGCGCTGCGCTCTGATGTTGTAGGAGAAAACTTTTTTTTATTAAAAAGTCTCTTTAATTAAGTAGAACGTGTTGCCTATCTATATATATAAAATCGTTCATGTCTGTCTGTCTGTGTGTGTGTGTGTGGACTTTGGCCCATACGCACTTTCATTGGACGGCGGTTGCCCCTGGCAACGGCTAGCCACGCCTTCGCCGCTTTCATTGGACCTGGCAACGGCTAGCCACGCCTTCGCCAAGGGCTGCAGTTTCATTGGACGGCGGTTGCCCCTGCCAACGGCTAGCCACGCCTTCGCCACTTTCATAAGCTCCGTATTTAATTAAATAATAGCCATTACACAGTATTGTTGGAGCGCTAGGGGGGGGGGAAGGAACGCCACCCGTACCCTGCCTCTTCCAAGCCGACAATTTTAGGCGAGGCCGCAGGCTTTGCACGCTACTAGGCCTCGACACCCACCACGCCACTCTGAGGTAAATTCATCAAAGTTTTTCCTACTCTTCACTACACCCCCACCACAATGTGTGCTATTAATATTACTTTTAAACCCAACGCGCCAACAATCGATTACTTTAATGTTCACTGTACAAATACTCATTAAGCTGGGTGAGCGTACTGCCAGTCTATCATGTACACTGTAGCCTGCTTATTAAGCTCGGTGAGCGTACTGCCACTCTATCATGTACACTCTAGCCTGCTTATGAAGCTGAGTGCGTGTACTGGCAGTCTATAATGTGGACTCTTGCCTGGTTATTATAATCGATTCTTTATATGTTCTTTGTACAAACAGTCATTAAGCTGCTTGAGCGACCCCAGTTCGATTCCAACTCACGCCCACCACCGCTGACGATTATTTGAAACGGACCTGGCCCTCCCCTAGGTCCACTCAGCCTCAAAAGCGTAACTGCTGTCGTGTGTGAACATCGTCACTGGGGAGACAAAGGCGGCGGGGCATCGTGGATCCAAGTCCCGGGCGAAGCCGGGTCATGTGTATGTGTGTTTGTGTTTATGTGTATGTCTGCGTGTCTCTATGTATGTGTGTATGTACGTGTGTGCATGTGTTTGTGTGTATGTATGTGTGTGTCTATGTATGTGTGTGTCTATGTATGTGTGTGTATGTGTGTGTATGTATGTGTGTTATGTGTCTGTCTGTGTCTGCATGTATGTGTGTGTGTATTGTGTATGTGTTTGTGTGCATGTATGTGTGTGTTTGTGTGTATGTGTATGTCTGTGTGTATGTGTTTGTGTGTATGTGTGTGTATGTATGTGTGTGTATGTGTTTGTATGTGTTTGTGTGTTTACGCTCGCATTACACAAATGTGTTGCTGGTCTAAGGCGTTCCTCGCACAGCATTGCCGCTTTATTATTTCAGTCGTTTACTGCCTTACGCACCCTCAAAGTCGTGTGTGTCTGCAGCAAGCGCGTGTATGTGTACCTATGGACGCGCGCGCGTGTGTTGTGTAGGGGGAACGGTAGTGTAGTGCTTAGCGTGCTGCCTGTGTGTGTGTCTGTGTGTGTGTGTCTGTGTGTGTGTGTCTGTGTGTGTGTCTGTGTGTGTGGTGTGTGGGGAGCGGTAGTGTAGTGGTTAGCGTGCTGTCTGTGTGTGTGTGTCTGTGTGTCTGTGTGTGTGTGTCTGTGTGTGTGTCTGTGTGTGTGCGCGTGTGTTGTGTAGGGGGAACGGTAGTGTAGTGCTTAGCGTGCTGCCTGTGTGTGTGTCTGTGTGTGTGTGTCTGTGTGTGTGTCTGTGTGTGTGTGGTGTGTGGGGAGCGGTAGTGTAGTGGTTAGCGTGCTGTCTGTGTGTGTGTGTCTGTGTGTGTGTCTGTGTGTGTGCGTGTGTGGTGTGTGGGGAGCGGTAGTGTAGTGGTTAGCGTGCTGTCTGTGTGTCTGTGTGTGTGTGTCTGTCTGTGTGTCTGTGTGTGTGTGTCTGTGTGTGTGTCTGTGTGTGTGCGCGTGTGTTGTGTAGGGGGAACGGTAGTGTAGTGCTTAGCGTGCTGCCTGTGTGTGTGTCTGTGTGTGTGTGTCTGTGTGTGTGTCTGTGTGTGTGTGTGTGCGTGTGTGGTGTGTGGCGAGCGGTAGTGTAGTGGTTAGCGTGCTGTGTGTGTGTCTGTGTGTGTGTGTCTGTCTGTGTGTCTGTCTGTGTGTCTGTGTGTGTGTGTCTGTGTGTGTGTCTGTGTGTGTGCGCGTGTGTTGTGTAGGGGGAACGGTAGTGTAGTGCTTAGCGTGCTGCCTGTGTGTGTGTCTGTGTGTGTGTGTCTGTGTGTGTGTCTGTGTGTGTGTGTGTGTGGTGTGTGGGGAGCGGTAGTGTAGTGGTTAGCGTGCTGTCTGTGTCTGTGTGTGTGTGTCTGTGTGTGTGTCTGTGTGTGTGTGTGCGTGTGTGGTGTGTGGGGAGCGGTAGTGTAGTGGTTAGCGTGCTGTCTGTGTGTCTGTGTGTGTGTGTCTGTGTGTGTGTGTCTGTGTGTGTGTGTCTGTGTGTGTGTCTGTGTGTGTGTGTCTGTCTGTGTGTCTGTGTGTGTGCGCGTGTGTTGTGTAGGGGGAACGGTAGTGTAGTGCTTAGCGTGCTGCCTGTGTGTGTGTCTGTGTGTGTGTGTCTGTGTGTGTGTCTGTGTGTGTGTGTGTGGTGTGTGGGGAGCGGTAGTGTAGTGGTTAGCGTGCTGTCTGTGTCTGTGTGTGTGTCTGTGTGTGTGTCTGTGTGTGTGCGTGTGTGGTGTGTGGGGAGCGGTAGTGTAGTGGTTAGCGTGCTGTCTGTGTGTCTGTGTGTGTGTGTCTGTGTGTGTGTGTCTGTGTGTGTGTGTCTGTGTGTGTGCGTGTGTGGTGTGTAGGGGGAACGGTAGTGTAGTGCTTAGCGTGCTGCCTGTGTGTATGTCTGTGTGTGTGTGTCTGTGTGTGTGTGTCTGTGTGTGTGTCTGTGTGTGTGCGTGTGTGGTGTGTGGGGAGCGGTAGTGTAGTGGTTAGCGTGCTGTCTGTGTGTCTGTGTGTCTGTCTGTGTCTGTCTGTGTGTGTCTGCGTGTGTCTGTGTGTGTGTCTGTGTGTGTGTCTGTGCGTCTGTGTGTGTGAGGAGCGGTGGGTGTAGTGGTTAACGCTACGCTGCGCTACCAACCCGGCGAACCCAGTTCGATTCCCGCTCATGGCCACCACCGGTCAAGATTATTTGAACCTCCCCTAGGTCGAATCAGCCTCAAACGAGTAACTGGTGTGGAGTATTAACATCGCCACTGGGGAGACAAAGGCGGCTGGCCGTGGTGGATACAAGTCCCGGGCGAAGCCGGGTAGTACAGCTAGTCTATATATATAAAATCGTTCATGTCTGTCTGTCTGTGTGTGTGTGTGTGGACTTTGGCCCATACGCACTTTCATTGGACGGCGGTTGCCCCTGGCAACGGCTAGCCACGCCTTCGCCGCTTTCATTGGACCTGGCAACGGCTAGCCACGCCTTCGCCAAGGGCTGCAGTTTCATTGGACGGCGGTTGCCCCTGCCAACGGCTAGCCACGCCTTCGCCACTTTCATAAGCTCCGTATTTAATTAAATAATAGCCATTACACAGTATTGTTGGAGCGCTAGGGGGGGGGGAAGGAACGCCACCCGTACCCTGCCTCTTCCAAGCCGACAATTTTAGGCGAGGCCGCAGGCTTTGCACGCTACTAGGCCTCGACACCCACCACGCCACTCTGAGGTAAATTCATCAAAGTTTTTCCTACTCTTCACTACACCCCCACCACAATGTGTGCTATTAATATTACTTTTAAACCCAACGCGCCAACAATCGATTACTTTAATGTTCACTGTACAAATACTCATTAAGCTGGGTGAGCGTACTGCCAGTCTATCATGTACACTGTAGCCTGCTTATTAAGCTCGGTGAGCGTACTGCCACTCTATCATGTACACTCTAGCCTGCTTATGAAGCTGAGTGCGTGTACTGGCAGTCTATAATGTGGACTCTTGCCTGGTTATTATAATCGATTCTTTATATGTTCTTTGTACAAACAGTCATTAAGCTGCTTGAGCGACCCCAGTTCGATTCCAACTCACGCCCACCACCGCTGACGATTATTTGAAACGGACCTGGCCCTCCCCTAGGTCCACTCAGCCTCAA